AGCTAGTCAACACCACTTACCACCAAGTCTTAGGCTTCACTTTACCAACGAATAGTAGGATTGACTGTCACATTATAAACACCCCCACCCCACCCAATACACAATGTAGAAAGAACGAGGATGCTCAATGGTGAGATTAAAGTGTTGTAACGCAGCGATAACATTTGAACTGGATCGGCCACAGATCTCAAAATCAAAACTTTTTTTAAAGAAAATAATTTAAAAAAGAAGAAATAACAGGAGGAAATGTGAAAAAGATGAGAAATTTTGAAAAAATTAAAACTCAAGTTGAAATAACAGTAACATTATTCAAAATTAAATAAAGATGTTTTCAACGGGAAAGGAAAGGACCCAGGGAGATTGAGAGATGTTATCGTGCGAAATGCAATTGTTTCGACATCAGGTGCCCCCCAGTGGCACAGCGGTATGTCTTCGGTGGGCAGAGCACAGATAGCCCATTGTGTAGCTTTGTGCTTATTTTGAAACAAACAAACAGATAACTTCTAGTTTAAATTAATTCCTAGTGGTAACAAAATTGTCAAGAAGTATATCTATGAAATAATGGAATTAAACCTAAGATAGTGTGTTTCTATGGGTTTCATAAGATAACGTATATATGGATCTATGCATGAACATATATATATATATATATATTGATCTCATTCAGGTCGTCCGACCATCGAGACACAGCAACAAAGTGTCAGATAATAGCCGCAGTAAAAAACCTCAATTTAACATAACACCGGAAGATCTGATTAAGACCATGGAAGACAGTGATGATGACGAAGACGAAGAAACGAGTTTTGATATTTTGAAATATCTACCAATGGCAACCGAGGAATTAGCTCGTTCCATAGATCGATTCTGTCGAGGCTTGTTTCCGCTGATATTTGCACTGTTTAATCTTGTCTACTGGGTCACGTGGTCACATAAGTAATCGTACGTGTGTTGTTATGTTATGTTATTTTTTACGTTCATGTGACAAAGAGTTGAAATGACAAAATATTAATATCTCAAATTGTTCGTTTTTTTTATCTTCGAAACTTATGAATGATATATTCCAAATTTGGTTGATCATTTTTTTTTCTTTCTTAAAGATTAACACTCCTGCGGTGGCTCAGTCGCAAACTTCAGGATTTATAACGCTAAAATTCAGGGCTCGATCCCTCTGATGGACACAACACGGATAGTCCATTACGTAACTTGGTGGTTAACAGTAAACAAAACTTCGCCAAAGAAAGTTAACCTTGCTTAAAACTTAAACTATTTAACTCGTTTTATTAACATTTGGATTTTTTTTTAATTCCTTAATTAAATGTTTAAAAACTTAGGACATTAATCGTTCCTGGAAGAATTTATTTCAACAATGTCGCACGACTGTAAACCTTAAATAAAATATTTCATACAAAATACGACAGTTTACCTAATTAAGATCACACGAATAGTCAGAACGTTCTAATAAAGTTAAATAAATAAATAATCCACTCAAAAAGCAGTGCCAGAAGACGTCCAATAAAAAATGGTATCGTTCAGTTTCCCGGTTACTGCTCCACAGGCATCAACTTGCTTATTTATCAGCATCTTACAGAAAGATTAATGAACCCAAACCTGAACCTAACGTATAAATCAAAAGTACTGGAAGTTAATTTTCATTCTACCTTTCAACTCAATTTCAGATATAACACTAGAAGACGTGATGATATTTTTGTTACTTGCTACACGAGACCACTTGGTATCCATTGTTAGATTTTTTTTCGTCTAGAAGGTTGGAAAAAAATGCCCTTTGCTCTCCAGAATTTGTTTTTTCATTCTACATTTCACCATTCTGGTTTTATTAGAACTTTTACTAAGACTGGTTGATATGAAAATATACGTTATCTTGATAATGCAGGTTAAGTAGTTAGCACACAGGATCACCTACAAAAAAGTTGTAATATTTTCAAAACGAGACCCAAAACTCGAGCGTTTTCGAATAGTTGACTATTCTTCTTCAGGAGAACAAAGGGTTAAGTTTAATGAGTGTGATGAAATATATTAGGCTCGGATGTCGATGTCACGTAAACCGGATGTTCAATATGTGTTGGCCTTGAGAGCTAGCCAATCATA